TTAGAGCTCACCCCAGCACAGAACCTGCCCTTCTTAAGGTCATGAATAAATTGCTTTGAGTTGCTGATGGTGGACATCCCTCCCTTTTAATACTTTAACTGGTAACAGAATATGAGAGCCCATTACACTTGTCTTGTCATCTTTGTGGTGGCTTAAGAGTTGCTTTTAAAATTTTTCATATCACTGAATTTTTTTACAATAAAAAAACATAAAAAAATATTTTTATGTTTTCATTTGCTTTCAAGCTGATGTTAAATTAAGTGAAGATTGGTAATTTGTCTATAGAACATAGAAAATATATAAATTCAGGTATGATGTAGGTATGATGCAAATTAGCAACAACAGGCGTAAACGAGAAAACAGGGCTTGCAAAAGATTCCTAGGTACGTTTTGAATATGCACAAACAGGCATTGGGGGAATCCATGCGCTATATCTTGGCTGCAGTCTGAAAGGAAGAGGTGCGAATTCGCGACAATCGGTGTCAAGGGGTTAAAGCCCAGAATGGTTTATATTTCTGACCCTTTCACTCCCCATGCCCTGATGTCCTCAAACGCTGCCTTCCTGAGATCTTCTCTCACCTTCCTGCGCCATTTGTCTTATTGTTTTGATTTTTAGGTTTTATTTCTGTGTTTTATGTTTTATTGCTTATTCTACTGCTATTGTTCCATGTGTTTTTATGCCTTCCTATTCTCCTGCCTTGATTATTGTATACATTTACATTTATTCATTTACCTGACGCTTTTATCCAAAAGGACTTACAATTGCGATACATGTCAGAGGTCGCACGCCTCTGGAGCAACGAGGGGTTAAGTGTCTTGCTCAGGGACACAATGGTGGATGGGTCACAGTGGGGGATTGAACCCAGGTCTCTCACACCAAAGGTAGGCAATTTATCCACTGCGCCATCACCATATACTACTGTACAGATTATATTTTGGTATGACTCAGTATTGTTTATCTCGTCTCCAACAGGTTCAAATGCAGCAGCAATCCTCAATCCTGACTTCCCAATAAACAAGAAGCCACTAAACTTCACATCATGGATCAGTAAAGGTATTACACACCTCAGACATATTTTCCATAACAATTCTCTAGTCTCATTCCACCATTTGATCCAATCCAAATCCTCTATTCAAACTAAATATAACATTAAATCATTTAAATAAGATCTTCACTAATTAGCATTAAATTTACTTGACATCAATAAAAGAAAAATGTACAATCTAAAATCTATAAGATAGTTTTCACCTCCGTTTTAACATTAGCCATCCCTTTTGAAAAAGTGGAACAAGACTTACGGATCACTCCCCATGCCGACTTCTGTGTAGAGTACACAACACGGGAAAAAGGATGTTTCAAACGTGTTTCACAGATTAATTTGTTCACACTACACACAAAATACCACAGACAGCTACTACAGGCATGCCACATGGGACTGCACACCAATTAAACAATTTTGGCAAGATGTTACAAAAAACCTCTCTCTTATTTTGGGCTGCCACATTCTGCTATCCCCCACCCTCTGCTTACTGGGAGACATAACTATTGCCAAGAATTATTGGGGGGGGGGATTAAAAATGCAGCAGCAAGAGTTTTAACAAAGTCAAAAAAAGAGGGAGCACATCGTTCTTATTCTTACCTCCCTACAATGGCTGCCTGTTAGCTACAGGATGGATTTTAAAATCCTGATGTTTGCTTACAAAGTATTAAATGGTCTTGCTCCTGCTTACATTACAGAAATCCTGTCCCCACGTCATACTGTGAGATAACAGAATCATCTGACAAAAGACTTTTGTCTGTCCTGACATCCAAAACTAAGTGTTATGGAGACAGGGCCTTGTCTATCGCTGCCTCTAAACTTTGGAATTGTCTTCCTTCACTATCTGATTCTCCCCCACTATAGAGATTATTGAAAGTCATCTTAAAACACACTTTTACTCACTAGCCTTTAACTGTGCCTAACTTTACCAGCTCAGGTATATCCCTGAAGTCTCTGTAAGTCTGTGTTGTCACTATGGGCTCTGTGTGACCATTATTATTAGTAATAGCCTAGTATTATTATTATTATTATTATTATTATTATTATTATTATTAGTAGTAGTAGTAGTAGTAGTAGTAGTAGTAGTAGTAGTAGTAGTAGTAGTAGTAGTATCATCACTCTGATTTTTCTACTTGTGTTTGTTTCCTTCGTTTGTTTTTGTTTGTGCTGTAAAGCACTTTGGATTTGTGTAAAGTGCTACAAAGATTAGTTGAGTTGAGCAGATTAGGATAACCAGTAGCAGATAATCAAAACTATATCAACATTTGAATTCAGTTTGTCCCCCTTACCTTTCACTGTATCTCTCTGTCTTGTGTACCATAAAGATGTTAATTCAACCCTATGATCATTTTGAGGTCATTCAGTGTTTCTGTCATTTTGTCTACCTACTGTCCTTCTACTGGTCACATTGTGTAGCTATGACATAAAGCAAATCACCCCATGTACAATTTAATTTATGCACTGACCCAAAAATCTACAAAAATTTGACTGCAATACCACAAGAAACATTTGGCCAGAAGGCCAAATCTACATAGGAAGAGTATACTGTATAGTATGATTACATCAAGTCTGCAAATAAGAGGTATGGTATGGCTCAAAGTCTGTAGGGTACAACTTATGTAACTGGATGCATCGTGAAGAAAATCCAACAATTTCCACAACCGGAGAACAGAGTTCTGTGGAAAATTCCAAGATGGTATGTTCTCAATTAAGGCGTTCTACTTCACCATGAAATTCAAGAACTCCTTCCAGAATGACTCTGCACTTTTTCTGTGCAGTGTGCCAGTGTGTTACATATATATATATCAATGAAATATTCATTCATGTCCAACTTTCTAACAAAACATATTGAACTTCTTTAAATCTGTTTTAAAAAGTGTTTGATGATTTAACTTACAGATTCCATGTGTCCTGTTGGGTCACATTCATACTGAGTTCAGTCAGGATGGATAGAAATACTGTTATGATGTAAAGCAATGTTCTAATTAAATGGACAGCATTTTAATAAAGCTTGGACTACTCAAATTCAGTGTAAGAAAGGATGTTTTCTCTACTTCTTTGGAGCGGTCATGAGGAAAAGACAAATTGACTGGGGGTCTTGAAGAAACACAAACAACCAGTAAACTAACAAACTGCAATCTTTTTAATCCCAACAGGGACTTCCTGGGTGATGTTCCTTAAACTGGTTGTTAGTACAGCTTCAGTATTTGGGTTCGTTTATTACGTCACTACCAAAGATATTTACTTAAAATTCCACCACAGCTTTGTTATGACAGCTTCCACAAGACACAGAGCTATGAACATTTCACCTCCTCCTGACCAGCTTAAGTTTTTCATCACTTTGAATTATTGCATACTTTTTTGGTCACTTTAAGTGATTTATGTACAATTTATGTTCCAGCAGCTTAGAGCTGATCTGTCCTTTTGTAAACAACTTCAGTTTTGATTGTCATTAGTCGTGACTTAAAATGGACATGAATCTCCATGAGACCTGGCAAACTGTGTTGGACAACACATAGACAAGGACACGGTTATATAACTATACCAGATCAAATCAGATAGACTGGAGTTACCAATCATAATGTTGGCACACAGTTATTTTTGTTTTTACTGAGTTCCTGAGGTCACATGCAGCTTTACCAATCGTCAACTGTGCTATTTTGTCGTCTTCATTTTGCTTTATGCATTGTTTATTTGCATGACATCTTCCTAAATTAGGGTATGGCATCTTCCTCTTCCTCATATAGCCATTAGTTAACAGGGGTTCAGTATTTCTGAAAGCTTACATTAGGACATTTTCCAGTATGTAGGCTATGTGGTGTTGCTGTGTGGGAAACTGTAAGGTGGAGAAACTCCATAGAGACTAAAACTTGATGCATCTGAGTTTAAAACACAGCTTTGTAAAGGTGTTAAGTGCAGCTTCAATATGCTCTCATGGGAAAATGCGTGCAGACCAGCACTGTCCATTTAATTACGACATTATCTCACGCTAAGCTTCCAGTTACTTAACACATGCAACCGTGTCTGTCTCAACAGTGTAAAAGAGAGGGCGTCTGTAGTAGCCATACAGATTAAATATAGCCTACTGCCAGCGCATGCCGCACTGAATGCCAGCGTGATTTTGACAAGGGATGGGAGGTCATCTACTGGCAAAAACCTGAATTGCAACATGTTTATCATTTAAAACAAGAGCAGCACATAGTGTTCTGAAAAACAGGGTCCCGTCAAATTAAAGCCATTCCCCACTTTTATTAAAACTTTAAAAATAAGGTAATTCAAACCAAAGACATCTGTTTCCATGAGAAGAGAAAAAAGGAACCGATAGACTACACATTATCTTACTTTCTTTTCCAAAGGTTGAACTGAGGACATTTTGTTATTTTTTTAGTAAACACGTGTTCACAGTAAGATATATCCTAAGATAACATTTCTGAGGGGATTTTGGGATGGAGCCGGTGATTTTCCACAGTCTGCGGCGTGTTCATGAAAATAACAAGTGAACAGCGACGTGTTGAGGCCATTCAAGGGAAAGACAAATGCCCTTAAAATAGATGATGAAGAGGTGATTTAAATTGATGATCTGAAACGCATCATTAGTGTGACACTGAATTTCATAATCTCTGCAAATAAGATTTTTTTCCCCAAAAAAGATCTTAAGCACAATGTAAAGCAGAAAGTTCAATGGAAATGGCGATTAGAGCCATTAGCATTTATATAGTATTTTAGGTTCATTAAGGATCATTCAGACATTTGCTTGACTAAACTCACTAAGGCATGTGTGACCATATAACCTTAATTAAAATAGCAATAAGCGGCGAAACACCTCCGCCTACAAGGCAGAAGAACATAAAGGAGCCTTTTCCTAAAAAAAAAAAAGAGAAGAGAGAGAGAGAGAGAGAGAGAGAAAGCCCAAACATTAAACGCTGTTTTTTTTTGTTTTTTTTTTTAGTGTTTATTTTTAAACGTCTGTTTCATAAGCACCAGTTTTACAAGCCTGCCTTCAAAACACTGAAGAGCTGTGAGGAATAAGCAATAAACTCACTGAACTGCTGCTGCAAGTAACCTCAAAGTTAGCATAAAGGTTATTACTTAAGCTAACAAAAGTTAATATTTCTGAATTCCCGACATGGAGAATTTGAAGTCCTGTCCCTCATAGCCTACTGGCTGTGTAACTTAGCCTACTCAACAGGCTATATACGAACGCGTGGTGAAAGTGAAAGGTCAGCTGAGCCGGGCTGTTAAGATATTGCTGTTGCTGACTAGCAGGATAGATGCTGACCCAGAGAGGGCTGCTGCCAAGCTCCGCCCGTTAACGCCACTGGACATCTCCCATAGAGGGGTCTAGTATAGGGTTATACTAGACCCGGGGCTAGTATATCTCTTTGGCATCTCCTGGACCTGACCTCCTCGGAGGGACACCGCAGGGTAAGTACAGCTCAGTAAAACATTTTCAGTGTTTTAAGTTTAAATGAATGATGTCTACTGAGTGCATTTTTTTTTATTGATTTAGACAAGCTCTGCAGGAACATCTAAGTCTGGGAGTTTTAGTGTCAAATGGCTGTAAGGTGCAAGGTTAAGTCAAGGGTATACCAAAGATATTGGTGAATGCAGCAGCAGAGTAATTGCAAGCAGACCAGTATTGTAGTTACTGCTATGAAGAAATGACATAAATGTGAACATTTTGATGTAATGTTTTATATTCAGAAAGAAATGAATGTTGTTATAAAGATTTAGTAGGCTTAGGTAAGGATGATCATAGCATGCTCTGTGTATGTTATTTTTCAGGTCTTTTTTAAGGAGGCATTGCATCAGGAACAGTTTAAAACTTGTGCAGATGCAGATGATTTCACCCCCAACTGCAAAAGTGACCATGGCTGATGAAATCTCCCTACAGATGTCTGAGAAGGCAGCTGTTGAAAAGAGAAGTAGAAGGAAACATAAAGGAAGGCACAGTGTCACTCCTTCAGTCCCAGAAGGACAGATCTTAATTGACACTCACAATGTGAAGGCGGACTCTTCATCTGATGGTGTTTGTGTAGGTATGAACTCACTTTTAGAGAGCAGTGAGACCGGAATCCTTTATTTGAACCCTCAAACACCAAACTGGTCTCTTGTGGAGAAGTTTGCTGAGCTTTCACCGGAAGAAGAAAGAGAAGCTAATGATGACCAAGACCACAGCAGTCAAGAACTGTTACAGTACACTATTGAGAACAATAAAATGTGTGGATCTGATGAAGTGCTCTTGTGTGCTGTAAAAAAGAAGGAAAGGACCTGCTCTAAATACCTCAAGAGCCATAAGGTACAAAGTGATGCCTCAGTCAAAAAGAGTGCATCTAAGCTCAAAGAGTTAAATCTTGAGACACATTCTCCAGATGTAGGTGAGAATAAGATCAAAAAGAAGACTTTAAATACTTGTCCTGTTAAGAAATCACTTCAAAAGTGTACAGACGACAAGATCCCCCGACTTTTGGTAGCGATGAAAAAACGTAGTGGCATTGACACAGAAAAGCGTCCCTTCAAGTGCACACACTGCCACTGGTCTTTTAAGAAGCTTTGTAACCTACAGAGTCACTTACAGACGCACACTGGCCTCAAGCCACATGTGTGTGACATATGTGGCAAGGCTTATTCTCATCAGGGCACGCTGCAGCAGCACAAGCGTCTACACACTGGTGAAAGACCATATCACTGCCCCTTCTGTGTCAAGACCTATATCTGGTCCTCAGATTACCGCAAGCATATCCGCACACACACTGGTGAAAAGCCCTATGTCTGTGACACCTGCGGGAAAGATTTTATTCGCTCCTCTGACCTGAGAAAGCATGAGCGGAACATGCACACCAATGACAAGCCCTTCCCATGCACGCACTGTGGTAAGACCTTTAATAAACCCCTCTCCCTGAAGCGTCATGAGCGTAAGCACCTGGGAGAAAGGCCTTTCTCCTGCCCCGACTGTGGGAAGGCCTTTGCTCTGGCCAGTCGCATGGCAGAGCACCAGAAGATCCACACAGGAGTGCGGCCGTACGCCTGCTCCGTATGCTCCAAGTGCTTCACAAAGTCCTCCAACTTGACCGAGCATGAGGCCATTCACAGCGGAGAGCGGCCTCATAAGTGTACAGAGTGCGGCGCGGCGTTTGTCATGGCTTCCCGCCTGGTTCGTCACCAGTACATCCACAATAAAGAGAAACCGCACAGCTGCACATGCTGCAGCAGGAACTTTAGCCACCCAGCCTCACTGAAGCTTCACCAGGAGCAAACCTGTGCCGGAAGGATCTTTGTCTGTGTGGAGTGTGACAAATCCTTCCAGTGTGCTGCAAAGCTTGCACAGCATGTGCTGAACCACAAGGACAAGAATGTCTGAATCTGTTTAAAGACAGGTACTGTACACATCCATCACTGTGCTAGTGCTATTCACTCAAATTGCAACTGCACATCTAAACGCAGATCTGATCTATTCAGGCTCATAGGGCACCACTTTGTTTAGGTCTTTATGATAATTGTGACTTTTAAAACTTAAGACTCACCCTCATGAGGAGGATGTCGTTGGATAACAATTGCCACCAGCACAGAATTGATGCTGGAGCTGACAGCTTCACTGTGTGACGTCAAAGTAGTTACAAGAAAGTGAGAATAAAGTGAGAATATATAGTCAATGCAGTTAATAATACGCACAATACAGGCACTTTGCATTTAGGAAATGCAAGCTATTTATTATGATGAATGGCTACCAATGATGTAGTAGCATTCCTGGGTCATTCTTAATCAGGTGACCAAGGTGGGACATGGTTACTCAATTAAAGTAGGGATGGCAGTGAGCATGGCATTTCAGAAAGCCTGTCACTTCCTCACCCTGAATGTATACACAAGGTTTACCAATTACCCAATTTTAGCATCAGTGACGTTAGGCAAACATACAGCAGATGACAATTTTGATAACCAGTATTGGTGACGAGAAGCTGGTTATATTGTCCGACAGATGGAGGGGCAGCTTAATGTTTTCAACCGATCAATGCCTGTTATACACAAACCAACATTAATTCGTACTTATTATCTGCTGCAGGCTGCTGATAATCTGGTGAGCTGCACTTCTTGATACACAAGCAGCAATAGTTGCAAAAAAGTGCGTTAACATAGTCATAAGCCAGTCCTAGCTTGGGAGGTATCTCCTGACACACATTACTGTGACTGCATTATTAGACGAGTTTAGAACAGTTTAAATGGTACAGGGAACCTAGCAAATCAGTCAGGGTTTTTTTTTTTGCCAACGGACACTGCTATGTGACGTTAGTACATCTTTATCTTGTACTCTTTATGTTTTCTCTTTATTATTGTGCTTGGCAGTGCAGCTATTTCCATTCTGGGTGTTTTGTTTGACATGTGGTGATTCTGTAGTTTACATGGTTCCTACGCAGTATTGAAAAGTCATTTCCAGGTCTGGATAAGTAGGGAAAAATATTTGTTTCCAGACTATTGCACCTATTCTGTTTATTAAATCATAAAATTCAGAGTTTCAAAAGATAAATTGATCATACAAGCAGAGTGCTTTTTGCTGGTACTCGGAGCAGGCAGCCAGCCCGGCCAAAATGTTTACCACCGCGTGAGAGATATGAAAACCATGTCAATATGAGAGTTAAGGACTCACATGCTGATATACTTTGGTTTCATATTTTTCAGTTAGTGTTACTAATCATCTAGTCTTGCATAGCAAGAACCGGCAAAATTCCCTAAAAAAAACAGGTTTACCAGATTAGGAGTAGAGTCGCTTTTAAAAACGTTAAAAGCCAACTGAAATAGTAGGCCAATGTCAGGCTTATACCAACAGCCTACTTCCTGTGAGCCAGGCTACCAATTACTAATTCCCCAACAATCCTGTTTTAACGTATTTTGTAGTTGTATACGTGTTTTACAATTGCAATTCAACTTTTAAAAAATGGGCTAGTTGTCCCTTTCCTTTAAATGGATAGTTTGGGACTGGTGAAGTGGGGTTGTATGTATGTATGTACTTATCCATAGTCAGTGTATTACCTGCAGGTCACCCAGGAGAGACTTGAGTGAACAACACTAATTTGTTGACATGTGATACATTGATATGAGAATGTGAAAAGTCATTTGGCGATTAGACACCATTGTGGTAACATGGTATTTAATGGGGGTGGTGAAGCCGCGGAGGCATAGAAATCCCCCTAATGGAGTAGGCACTGGTGGTAGTGATGAAGGGATAAAGAGAATGCTGAGGATCTGGATTTGATGAAGAGGACCTCTGGTGGGCTTGAAATGGGCCTGGATCTGATGAGAAGGAGATGAACGGGGTGGAGGAGTGCTGCAGTGATTCGTATTGAATGACAGTTGGCAGGAGAGAAGAGAACAGATCTAAAGTTTGATAGTGACTTCATGATTGGCTGTTCTGATCATGGTAAGATCTGATTGGAAAACTAAGGGAGAACGCCCATTGTCAGCTGTTAGAGGGCAGGAGAGAGAGGGTATGAGAGAGAGACAGTTGTGAATAAGTGAAATTGCGAACCTGGCTGAACTTTTGCTGAGCTTCATTAGATGGCGATCAGCATGTTTGGAGAGTATGTTACTTAGCTTCCATGCCGGTACTGGGGACACGCTGACCGCCATCTACTGCAGGTAATACTCTGACTATGGATAAATACCTCATCCAGCCCCACTTTAAAAAACCCAACCAATCCTTTAAAAAAAACAAATATACAGCTTTAATTCAAAGGAGTATGATTGTTAGAAGCAAGTCATTTACTGGGAACAAGCCTACTGGTGTTTAAAAACACAGAGGCCTCCAATTATTTTCAATAAAGCTTTATTCTGCTGTGTTGCTGTGTCTTTTCTAACAAACATATTATATTACACATGTCCAGAAATGAAAAACAAAACAAAAAGCATAATCATGAACTACAATTTTATTTTAGCCTTTTCACAACCTGACTGTGCACACTCATTACTCAGAGGAAGCCACTGGGGGGGGGGCAAGCGATTGCATCAGGGTAGCTGTGGCCCCCCACCCCCGGCCCATCCTTGGTGGCACCACTGCCAGAGAGAAATTTTGATGCAGTCAAAAGCAAGGCAATAAGTATGGTGTGCGACTGAATGATGCACACTTCTACCCAGAGCTGCCTCTACGTCAGCCTGAAACTGCTCTGTGCCTTATAACTACTAAATTCTTACATCTGTGACCAAATTAGGTTGAATGCTTGTCTTCTCTTGTCATCTTTTTTGTGTAAACCATACCTTTATGGCTGGCTGCGTTCATCGTCATTTCTATGGACACAGTGAATAAACAAGGCTGCACAGATGCAGTAAAAATTTTTTATTTAATTGTTTTCAACTTTCAGTTCATATTTATAAAAGAGACTAAAAGATATGGTGGGAACAATAATATATTTATTCAATATGTGTAGGAACCCTGAGATCAGTTTAATTTTAATTTTTTCGTAATGAACATATCAGTTTTTACATGATTTTGCTGTCCTATAATGTAATCAATAATTTGGGCTGAAGAAAACTCTATAAAGGTCTTCTCTATCAATACTGCATAAGTGAGTGTTACTACAGTGTGGTATAGTGTTAAAAAATATGTTTGAAGAGGAATCTCAATAAAGTTTTTTTTTAAACAAAAGGTCATTTCAAAATGTCATCAGCCCTTTTCATTTAATTTTTTACAAATTATGTTTGCTCTCTGAGGAATATTTTAAAACAATAAGGACCCCTCAATTTTATGCAACAACAAAGTAAAAAAATATTCGGTTAATTTGCCAAAAGAGGAACAGGCTTGTATCTCCAGTCAGAATTTTACTTTTTGTAAAGATTTTTTGGATGCCATTTGAAACTGTATTTCATAAAGCTATCCATTCTGAATGTGTGTATGGTGTGACACATTATTGGAAGCAGCAAGCAGTGCCCCACATTCTGGGTGACTGTGTGTGCTGAATTCCGGGCCAATGTGGCCCACTCACACTTGGCAACTGCAGACTAATGGTAAAAGGAGACAGCACCTGCTGTGTTGTCACTGACTCTGAGAGGCTCCGTTTGGAATCCCAGCTATTTCTTGGCAAGATGAATTTATTCAATATGCAGCCTTTATTTTGCTATTATCAGAGTGGTATGTCATAAAAAAACAGCCATGTATGGACTATAGAACCAGATTTTAACATTTTATAATACTAAAAGATTACTCTGAGGAAATAAAGGTAATTAATACTTGCATGTTCTGACAAAGCATGGACATGATATATAAAGCACACAGTTATATGACAGAAGTAAAAAAACATCTTACTTACAGTACTTCGAACTTGTTTAAGAGCAATTCTAAAATGTATTTGGAATATATATTACTGTGTTTTATATACATTTTAAGGAGTCTACACTAGCTTTGTCATCACACAAGCATGTATATAATAGGGCTATTAATAAAGCCCTTTCTCACATGAAGGCATAGCAAATATCATCAGCACATAAACAGTTTGATCCTACAAGTGTAATGGGGGTGTAATGCTGCCTGTTGGCTATTTGCCTGGCAGAGGTCTTTCCCAGTCCCCCCTCCCTCTCCCACCATGTGGTATCATCCATCTGGGCAGCATGACAACGTGAGAAAGCACTCTTCCATTTTCCTTTCTGTATATGTCTTATATATAATTCAAAACAAAACTACTTCACCTCACAGATGCAAAAATGATCAGATATTGTACACATGGTTCCATAATTTAGTGGCCTTGCAAAGTCAGGGTACAAACTCGGCTTACTCAGCTTGGAAGATTAAAGATGGCTTCTGTGAGGCAAATAACTGACCGCAGCATCGGATTACAGTTGAGTAGGATCAAATTTGTGTTTGAATGTATTTTTAATTATTAGTTAATTGTGTGTGCAGAGACATAACAAGATGATGCAGTGGGACTGATGGAACTATTTCTAAATATAAATTAAATGTAGCTGATTCATAAAGCACAAATAATCACTTACAGGTGACCTGAGCTATGAGAATCATGACATATTCAGTGGGCAGTTACGTAGGCAGTCACAGTTGCTGTCCCAAACCTTTTTCCACCACACTAAAGCACCAGGTCAAATCCCTCATACATAAATGGTTATTGGGGTCAATTAAGGTATCCCTTTCCCCAAATATGTCCTACATCTACAGACCTCAGCTGTTTTGGTCACTGCAATATGAGTTACTATGCCACTTCATCCAGAGTATTTCTGTATCTAATATGCAACATGTGCAACATGATGGTGGACAAGAGGTCGGGATTTGAAAAGGGCATCCTTAAAAAAGAAATTTGGGTATGGATCATATTGGTGTTCATCCAAGATCAGGAGAAGCTCTCATTAGACATGAAGGCACTGTTAATGGTAAATGTAAGTTGGTGTCAGTGATACTACAAAAACAAAATCTTTAAAAGTAATTCATGTGTGTCCTTTAAACATCTTTAATATGGTACAGATATATATGTATCGTTAAGTAACTTGATTTACCTGTGATACAGGCTAATGGTTTCTACCCCAGCTGCTGGCCTATGAAGAAGAAACAGATATTTATAGAAATCACATTTGCATAGTTTAATGTAGGTAAAATATCATTAGTGGCAGCCAAATCACTGTCAAAAAAAATCCAAGTGGCGTATCATGACTTTGTTTTCGCCAAAATGAGAAATTGGATACGATGGTCGGCAAATGTATTAATGGAAGAGACACTGAAGGGACACAGCTCCTCCAGTAGGGTCACTGACCTCAGAAAGCCCACATAAGAAAAACTTCAAACTTAGCAATATATTTATGATAACTTGATAGTTGAAATCTCAACAAATAAAAAAGAGTGATAATCAACAACTGACGAATAAAAAATCTTTCATAATTCACCTGCTTTCCTTGAAAAGGGATTGATCCCAGCAGAGGAAGCCTGGGACGGAAACATGCCTGGAGAGACAATGACAGGGGGAGGAGGAAGACGGAAGCCAGTAGTAGATGGTAGCTCCTGAGAAAACACACAAAAATATATATCTTACATCACCGAAGTGGAAACTTGTTACGATCAAGTACAATGTATATTTACTTTACTCTTACTGTCTGAGCTTCATGCCCTTGCACTGAACTCTCCATTTGAACATCTTTGGGTTTTGATCTGAACCAACCACTAAACCATCCTGCCTTGGTGCTCTGCATGAAATACAGAGAAAAAGGCACAAATGACTATAAACTGACTGTGATGTGGTTTAACAGGTGTCATAATGACAGGGCCTCCCCCCACCTGTTTAGGAGGCTCGCTGGTCTGCTCAGAGGCCTCTAAACCTTGCGGGATGCTTTGCTGGCTTTGTCCACGCCGACTAATGTCAACTTCCAGCATCTGGTCCCCCATCTTCAAAGGCAAATGCAGACAACGACAAACATCCAGGTAACATTTTTGACAATAATATAATTTTAGCTATGCATATCCAGAAAAAGACAAGACAAATGTGATGACATCAAACCAGGAGGTTGCCATCTTTGTGTTCCTTGCTTTTTTTTAATCAGCTCAGAATATTACAAACATTACTCACTGAGCCTGCTCCAGAGGACGACCAAGCCCCTGGAGGAGCAACGAAATCAAAATATCACACACAAGCTCACTCCCCACGGCCCATAGTAAACATTTGACTAAAGAAAGGAATGAATGCTGTCTAACATTTTATTCTCACCCTCTGCTGCTGATGGCAGATTACTCAGAGGACAATGTGGCGAGACAGGTCTGACTTCACCACTATTTGTGTTATGATAACTGAAGTCTTGGCCGGCTTCCACTGTGGGAGGGGTGGGAGCTGGAGGAGCATGAACCACCATCAGCGGCATCGGAGTATCGGCATGTGGCCTAGACAGAGCAACAGGGAGAGGACGGTGACATAAGAGGGTCTATTAGTACTGATATCAAGTGCAGGAAAAAGTTTTCATCCATGTGGTTAACAGAGAGAATAAAGCATGTTGCTGCACATTTTGTATTGGTCCTGAGCTCTGCTAACGTCCCATGACAATGAGGTCATTTCATCAGGGTTTTCTTTAAGTTGATGCTCAAGGCTTTCTTGCTCCTCAGTGCCTCTGTAATACAGGAGTTCAGGCTCTGGACTCTGGATGTCATGGCTTAGGTCATCCAGGTCAGATTCTGTAGAAACATGTAAATGAAAGCAACATTCTTAAGTACTGTTAAGAGTATTTATTAACATTATCACAGATGTACAAGGCAGAATACACTGCTCTCCAGTAGAAACAGGCCACACAGTGTATCATTTGAAGTAAAAAAGAAAATTACCTAAACACACTTCGTGGGCCAAAACACTTCCCTCATGAGGTGGCTGGTATGTTTCAGTACAGTCGTAGCTCCCTGTCTGAGTAAAATAACAAATTAAGATGTCAAGATGTTAAGTTTAAGATGTTAAGATGATTTGGTGTCTAAATTAGACAAACAAAAAGTGTACAGGGGCTCTGTGAGGCTCTACTTAGGCACAGTAGTACTTTGAGCAAAATCCACATGCTAAAATACTGAAAATGACAATGCTGACATGCTGATGCTTAGCAGGTATAATTGTTACTGTGTTCATAATCTAACTTTAGCGTTTTGGATGTGGGGCAGTGCTTGAATTGGAATAATAAATGGATGTTAGTGTGTGCCATGTGGCTGCATGTCAGAAAGTGTACAGATGCAGTGTGTTCGCAGCACAGACTACCAGATTTTGCGTAGCTCTACAAAAAAAACCCTGAATAAATGAGTGGAGAAACAAAAAGAGTGCCGATGTGTTCACACAGGTGGTGCATTGCATATTACAATTAAGTAATTAAAATCCAATCATGCTCTGTGGCACGTGGCAATGCCACCATCCATAGGCACAAGGGGTCACTGAATGGTTTGATGAGTATGAAAATGATGTGAATCGTATGCTATGGCTTTGCACTCACTATCTCAACCCAACTGAATACCTATGGGAGATTTCCTTCCAGAGACTTGGAGCATCAATGCCAAGGCACACTGAAGCTGTTCTGGCGGTATGTGGTGGCCCAACACCTTACTAAGACACTTCCTTTAATTTGTCAAACACACGCACGCATATATATATTTATATATATATATTTATATATTATCTCACTTGAGTGAAATTACACTTTGCTACAATTTAAAGTAGGGAGTGTCAGCTTGTAAAACAGTGACAATTTGTTGTCCCTTCAAAATAACACATCACACAGCCATTAATGTCTAAACCGCTGGTAACTAAAGTAAGGACACCCCTTAGTTAAAATATCGAAATTGGTTCCAGTTAGCCATTTTCCCTCCTCGATGTCATGTGACTCGTTACTGTTACAAGCTCTCAGGTGTGAATGGGGAGCAGGTGTGTTAAATTTAGTTTTGTCGCTCTCACTTTCCCTCATACTGGTCACTGGTCAGTTCAACATGGCACCTCATGGCAAAGAACTCTCTGAGGATCTGAAAAAAGAACTGTTGCCCTATATTAAGATGGCCGAGGCTATAAGAAGATTGCCAAGACCCTGAACCTGAGCTGCAGCACGGTGCCAAGACCATAGAGCTGTTCAACAGGACAGGTTCCACTGCATGTGCTCAGCGTCATATCCAGATGTTGTCTTTGGGAAATAGAGTGCTGCCAGCATTGCTGCAGAGGTTGAAGGGGTGGGGGGTCAGCCTGTCAGTGTTCAGACCATATGCAGCATACTGCATCAAACTGGTCTGCATGGCTGTCCTCCCAGAAGGAAGCCTATTCTAAAGATGATGCACAAGAAAGCCTGCAAACAGTTTGCTGAGGACATGGATTACTGGAACCAGGTCCTGTGGTCTGATGAGATCGAGATAAACTTATTTGGTTCTGATGGCGTCAAGCGTGTGTGGTGGCAACCAGGTGAGGAGTACAAAGACAAGTGTGTCTTGCCTACAGTCAAGCATGGTGGTGGGAGTATCGTGGTCTGGGGCTGCATGAGTGCTGGAGCTACAGTTCATCGAGGGAACCATGAATGCCAACATGTACTGTGACATACTGAAGCAGAGCAGGATCCCCTCCCTTCGGAGACTGGGCCGCAGGGCAGTATTCCAACATGATCACGACCCCAAACGCACCTCCAAGACGACCACTGCCTTGCTAAAGAAGTTGAGGGTAAAGGTGATGGACTGGCCGAGCATGTCTCCAGACCTAAACCCTATTGAGCATCTGTGAGGCGTCCTCAAACGGAAGGTCTCTCACATCCACCAGCTCCGTGATGTCGTCATGGAGGAGTGGAAGAAGGCGCCTGGTGATCTCCATGCCCAAGAGGGTTAAGGCAGTGCTGGAAAATAATGGTGGGCACACAAAATATAGACAGTTTGGCCCTAATTTGGACATTTTCACTTAGGGGTGTACTCACTTTAGTTGCCAGCGGTTTAGACTTTAATGGCTGTGTGATGTGTTATTTTGAAGAGACAGCAAATTTATAACCTGTACACTCACTAATTTAAATTGTAGCAAAATGTAATTTGTGTTTCTGATCAGCTTAAACAAAAAACTGACGTCTCATTTCCATATTTTTCCTCAATATTAGACATTCTTCTGAAATGAAAGCCATGGAGAAGCTGGTCTGGAGCACTCACCTGTAAACTGTGGTACCTAGCACGGAGCTGTTTCAGCCAGTCGGGTTCCGGCCCGGCTCCGCTAACCCCTGCTTCACTGAACTGACCCTCAGAGTGTTTCAGCCTGTCTGACAGCTGCAGGAGAAAGGACACATAGATACATTACATCTATGTAAAACTGAACTGATACATGCGGAACCCCTTTGATCAATGTACTCAAATGTACATAATTTGTATGTATAATAGGTATGTGTGTATAGGAGGACGTGTGAATACCTTAATAACCTCTCCTGTCAGCACAAAAAAGGGCTCCCTCTGTCTGAGGATCGCCTGTCCCACCACCTCGCAGTAATGAAAGGCCTGAGAAGCAAGCCCACAGTCCAGCAGTCGACTGGCATACAGGAACTTATACACCTGACCACAACGCAGTAATACTCAGCATCACATGCCTTTTTTGTCACATTTATTTATCAGATGATTGCAAAGGATAAAATTGTTTGTAGAAAGCAGTGATATGTGGTTTAAAAGGGGAGCTACCTGAAAGGAAGGTACTGAAAAGTGCTTGCCCCCAAGTGTCTGGCAGTACTCATACAACTCTGTGCACTGGATGGCAGTGTTTGTGGCAAAGTTTTCAAATGACTGCCTAAAGGAGAGAAGAGGACAGGATACAGCAAACCAAAGATAAGCAAGAAAATCTCAGCTAACGCTACATAGTAGCTAAAACTAACAAGATCATTATAGATTAAAATAAGGGGCATTCAAACAGACATTTACCTCCTGCCTTGCCTTGTGGTAATTTCTTATTTTTCTTTTATAGAAATGGCAGAAAATTGTGTTGCTTCGTACAATTCTACATCTCCATCAAAAGTATGACTAAATGGGTGGGAAATTAAACTTGAATGAATAGCATTAAGCACAGCTCACCTGTGGTTGCTGCCTAGAAGCACCAGTCTCTCTGACTTCTGTGTGAACACCCCAAAGGGAACGCTGGCTGTCAGGTAGCACACGTGGGCGGCATGTATGAGGCCTTTGGAGGCTGCAGGGGAAGAGCAGCGCAACACAGTCAGCTTGTACATCTGGGCGGAAACAACATCACAACCTGTTAGTCAGTGTGTCCATACCAAGCGTGTCTCCCATGGTGACGATGGCCTTCTGATGGGCGGCAGGGTCTCCTGTCTCATTGGAGAGCATAACAGCCAGGTGGGGTCTCCAATCTCCCCATTTTTCATTTCCACAGCACTGAGTACAGAACATCAATATCAATTAATTGCTGATAAGCTACAACCTGAGATTTCTTTAATACAATAGCTGAAATTGTGACGATTCCCGTGTGTGAATTGTTCTGGTTGTACCATGGCTACAGCAGGGATTCTCCCAGACAGCAGCTGGAAGAGAGTCTGGAGGGGATCACTGGCCATTAGCTGGCCCGTAAACCTGCCAAAAGAGCACTTTTTGTCATTGCACATCTTAACCAAGATTTTATTAACAGCAGAGGTCCTGTGCTCTTTGCAGAGCCCTCACTCAGCACTCTCTGTTGATAATGGACCACTCCTCTGTGACTGATGCAGAGACTAAAGGGCATTAAGCGTTTTGCATGTCACGCCGGACTATTTCCATTCTCCATCAAAGTGTTAATGGCCTGCAAAGAGCTGTCATAAGACTACCACCTGCCAATTCTAAATAACTCAGAGCCTTCAATAAACTCTGAAAAACAAGGTAGAATGTAATGACATTTTGTGAGCTTCCAGAAATCATTCATCGTTATTGCTTTATTAATAATGACTTTCCACCTTTGACTAATTGACAAATACATGTTAGAAGTAGCACCAATATACAAACTACACTATTGCCTCATGCAAATATATAAAACTTTATGGTTACGAATAGGAAGCCATGTTAAATTGTTCCTGAAGTCTAATCTCTTCTTGCTGTCATAACTGTTATTCACAAATTTTAAATAAAGGGCATTATTTTTGGACATGTGCTAAACTAGTCACAAATATAGGCACTTGTGAGTCTGAGTTCTAACTGCAGCAAAATGCTATAGGAGTTACTTTATTCTTTTCTTCATGACTGAATTGTCTTAACACCTGTTCTGTAGCAGAAAATATTGATAGAAGGTCCAATTATTCCCATAAAAATGTCAGATACAGATTTCAAATTCTGTACATTTTTGTAATAAATGGCATGATCAATTTATGTTTTACCATAGCATGCTAGCATTTGGAATTAGCAGTAAATGCAAAGTACATTTGAGGCTGATGGGAATGTCATTAGTTTTGCAGGTAGTAAGTTTTGGACAAAGTAACATTTTGATCTAATAATGGTGCTAGAAGAAAAGTCAGAAGATCACCAAAGTGATTACAATTCATCCTGAAGGGAGCATGAATGTCAGCACAAAGTGTCAGGCAATCCATCCAATTGTTATCGAGACATGTGACTCAAAACCACAAATGTCAACCTTGTGGCTCTAGGGGAAATCTCAGGGGATGCATCCCCTGGGCACCATGACTGTCTGTCCAAACCATCCAATGGTTTAGTTCACCAACAGACAAGCCGCTAGCATGGCTAAAGGTGCATTCCTGGGAGCTCGACTAAAACTCACATACAGGAAGTCGAGGACATATTCCATTTACAAGTGACAGAAATACTGGCCGCAAGTTTTAAGCAGGCTATAAGTATCTAATTTTAGTCAGAGCATTTCTTCACAAATTACCACTCGTGCGTAGCGTTGTTGACTGCAGCTGTCTCAGATGACTTTGCTTTTCTCACCTGTTCAGCACAGTGGTATAGGACCTGTTGTCCATTTTGCTGGCCAGAAAAAGTGCATGTCCCCACAGGCCGCTGCTCATAGCTAACTCCAAGGCCTCCTGGAAACCACATGGGAAAGTGTGAGACAAACACTCCCGGCGCAGTAGGACTATGCACAACTTTTACCTGTAATGGAATATTTTTACACTGTGGTATTGGTATCTTTATTTAAGTAAAGGGATTAAATAAATAATAAACATAAGATGAATTAAAGAGAGTTAAAAAGGTAGAAACCTTCTTTCTTCCAGCCAGCAGCAATTGAGTGTAGCTCTGCAGGGCCTTCTCAGAGGTCTCAGAGCTGAAGCTGCTCCAGTTTCCTGTGAGCAGGTCATCTCCTTTGCGAGGTATTGCTTCAGCAGTTGTGCCCTCACTGAAGTCAATGAGTGTGGGAGCATCTGTCTCCCAGCTTCCATCTGAATGTGAGTCCTGCATCAGCAGCTCTGCAATATCTGAGCCAACTATTTGCTGAAACAATGGAAATTTTGTTATAACTGTATCAAAAAAAAAAAGTTTAAAAATTACTTTCATTGTTGTTTGATGCTAAGCCAAATGTGTACTATTTTGACATACTGTATAATAAGATATGATACACTTACGCCATTTTGTCTGCAGAGGAGTATCAATAGATTCCACAAGAGGGCAGCAGAGCTCTTATCATGCAGCGTGTCACCTCTGATGCAGGCTCCTGCCCTCTGGTGGGCAAACTCCATAGCATCTATTTTGTGCAAATCCTCCCTTCAAAAACACGAAACGCCATCAAATACACTGCTCAAAATAATGAAGTTTAACTACACATCAGAACTGGATGAACCAAATAGTTGGCAGTTAAAAATCTTTACTGTAAATTGCAGAATTTCTTGAGAAAGAAAATTACATAACAACAGTCAACGGAAACCAAAATCACCAACTAATTGAGGGCTGGATTCAAAATCACACCAAAAATCTAACTAAAAAAATTTGAATCACAGGCTGATCCGACCTGCGTGACCTTCGTGAGCGCAACTTATTATGTGACCTAGTAGTGTGTATGGCCCCAGTGTGCCAGTATGCACTCCCGACAACATCTGGGCATGCTCCTGATGAGATGGCGGATGGTGTCTTGGGGGATCTCCTCCCAGATCTGAATCAGGGCATCAGTGAGCTCCTGGACAGTCTGTGGCGCTACTTGGCAGCGTCGGATGCACAGACACGTACCGTAACGTCCCAAAGGTTCCCTATTGGATTCAAGTCTGAGGAACATGAGGCCCAGTCAATGGCATCAATGTCTTCGTCAACCAATAACTGCATACACACTCTGCCCACATGAGGCCGGGTATTGTCCTGCACCAGGAGGAACCCATGACCCAACACACTAGCGTAAGGTCTGACAATAGATCTGAGGATTTCATCCCACTTCCTAACAGCAGTCAAGGTTGTTGGCTAGCACGTGGAGGTCTGTGTGACACCTCCAAGGATATATAAGCCTCCCCATCATGCTCTCATCTGTGAGGAGAACAGGGCACTAACGGTGGACCTGCCAATTCTGGCGTTCTCTGGTAAATGCCAATCGAGCTGCACGGTGCTGGGCAGTGAGCACAGATCCCACTAGAGGATGTCTGGCCCTCATGCCACCCTCATGGAGTCTGTTCTGACAGTTTGGTCAGAAACATGCACACCAGTAGCCCACTGGAGGTCATTTTGTAGGGGCTCTTGCAGTGCTCCTCCTGTTTCTCCTTGTACAAAGGAGCAGATACTGGTTCTGCTGCTGGGTTGATGCCCTTCAACAGCCCTGTCCAGCTGTCCTTATGGATGTGCCATCCTGGAGGAGCTGGACTACCTGTGCAACCTGAACGGGGTGCAGGTACCACCTCATTCTACCAGTAATGACATGGACACTTTCAAAATGCAAAACTAGAGAACAGTCAGTCTGGAAGGATAAGGAGAGAGCAGTTGTCTGCGGGCAACACCAGCAAAACCCTTTCCTTTTAGAGGTTGTCTTGCTGTTGCCTCTCCAGTGCTCCTGTTATCACTTTCATTTGCACCAAAACAAGTGACAGTGATTCACAATTACTTTTGCTTTCTTAATGTACAGATTGATATCCCTTAAGTTTACTTGACTTGATGTTATACTGTGATCATTGAGTGCTTATTTTGAGCAGTGTACATACAAAATTCAAACACTGAATTTTATTTACAATATTTATATGTCTCACAAGACTAATAATAATTTCAGATTTTACATCCAGCAGATAATGGCATCTGTCCTTTTGTTAAGATTATTTAGTAGTGAGTATTTTCACTTTTAGAATTGTACGCCAAAGCAATACCTGGCTAAAGGCCCTGGGAAGTTTCTCATCTCCTGCTGTTCCTTTGTCTCACTCAGAATGACCTGTGCAGACACAAACACAAAAATAACCTTTCAAACACAGTACTAGTGGCTAGAAAATCTAATAACATTATCAACACCGGCTATAGTGTTGAACCTACTTCCAGACTGTGGATTTCCAGCTGACTGACTTTCTCCTGTGTTGACAAGCCTGGAGTGACCCGTATCAGCTGGCCTGCAGGCCCAAAGCTGACAACCGCATGAGGGATTGAGTACTTAAGAGGAGCTGACATCTGATGCTCTGAGGAGATATGAAGTGCAAAAAGCATGTGTCATGATAAACACTGAGTGAACAAGACCCGAGAGAAAGCTGTACACTCACCTGCATCAGATGTGGGAGCAGACTGTGGGACAGGCTCACTGTGTTCAGCTCCATTAATGTACTGACTCAGTTCATAGCTGCTGGAGGATAACCCGGAGTTTTTGGAACTTTCTAATGTCCCCAGGTAATATGAGGAAACCTCTTCATTGTCCCTGAAGGGATTATCCACATAGTCATTGAGGTAATGCTGAGAGTCGTCTCTTCCTTGATCATACCTGAAAGAATTAAAACAACATATTGCATTTTCATAGAAATACATTGACAATTCTATTGCTGCTACAACACATAAGGATTCAGCCTATACTTCAGTTATGAAACACATGCTTTTGCTACACTAAATGCTTTGTCTTTCCAGGATAAAACCCTCTAGTACACAAAGTTCAAAGATATCTTTATTTATCCCCGAGGGTCAATTTGTTATGCAGACAGCAGTCAACACACAACTATCAACAGTCACAACTCACAAGCAAGCAATATGCAAATAGGCCAAAAAACAGACATAACCTAAAAAATACACTAGCATTAAAATACCACAGTTAATATAAAAGTAAAATGGAATTACAGTGAATTATTTAAAAGGCGAATGGCAGCTGGGACAAATTAATTCCTAAGTCTGTTCGTCGTGAACGGCCTGAAGCAAGCAACTTAAACTCCTCAAACAGAGGTTGGCTTGGATCAGTTGAATGTGCCTTCTTCAAAGTCCGAACCTTATATACAGTGGTGTGAAAATTTCTTATTGTTTGTCACACTGAAATGTTTCAAATCATCAAACAAATTGAAATATTAGACAAAGATAACACAAGTAAACTCATAATGCAGTTTTTCTCATAACTGGTTGGGCCACCCATAGCAGCAACCACTGCAATCAAACGTTTGCAATAACTGGCAATGAGTTTTTACAGCGCTGTGGAGGAATTTTGGTCCATTCATCTTTGCAAAATTGTTGTAATTCAGCCACATTGGAGGGTTTGAGCCTTAACTGCTTTTTTAAGGTCATGCCACAACATCTCAATCGGATTCAGGTCAGGATTTTGACTAGGCCACTCCAAAATCTTCATTTTGTTTTTCTTAAGCCATTCAGAGGTGGACTTGCTGGTGTGTTTAGGATCATTGTCCTGCTACAGAACCCAAGTGCTCTTCAGCTTGAGATAGACACCAGAATTCATGGTTCCATTTACCACAGCTGGTCTTCCAGGTCCTGGAGCAGCAAAACAGCCCCAGACCATCCCACTACTACCACCATATTTTACTGTTGGTATGATGGTTATTTTCTGAAATGCTGTGTTTTCTATTACGCCAGATGTAATGGGACGCACACACCTTCCAAAAAGTTCAACTTTTGTCTCATCATTCACCAGACTCATCAGAGTATTTTCTGGCAAAACTGAGATGAGCCTTCATGTTCTTTTTGCTTTGCGCTCTTGGGGTAATTTTGGATGGCTGGCTACTCCTGGGAAGGATCAACACTGTTCAATGATTTCGCCATTTGTAGATAATGGCTGTCACTGTGGTTCGCTGGAGTCCCAAAGCTTAAGAAATGTCTTTGTAACCTTTTCCAGACTGATAAATCTCACTTACTCTGGTTCTCATTTGTTCCTGAATTTCTTTGGATTTTTTTTCCCCCTTAATAATAAAAACCTTCATTTAAAATCGACATTTTGTGTTAACTTGTATTATCTTTGTCAATTTGTTTAATGATCTGAAACATTTCAGTGTGACAAACACGCAAAGAAATAGGAAATCAGGAAGGGGGTAAGCAGTTTTTCACACCACTGTAAGTGCAGAAGCTTGTTTAAACTTGTGCCTGCAATTTTCCCTCACACAGAGGAAGACTTCTCTCATTGTTACAAACAGCAATGAGGTTTGTGTCTGACCAAACACAAAAGACTGTTCACAGAATACTTCTTGACATTTGCCATTGCTATCTGCAGATTTACATAGTTACAAGTTGACTGCTTTTATATTTCCTCTCCTGGACAACAACACTGTTTACTCTGGTATCTGTCTGGGATCCTGCCACCTGCTTAGAATAAAACAGTGCTGTCTGAATCCCAGCTAGGGCTGCAACGATTAGTTGACGTAATCGACGACATCAACTATAAAAATTCTTTTTTTTATTTTATTTTACTAGGCATATTTAAAATCGTATTTGATTGCAGATCCAACACAACGCTGGCAATGTCGGAGACCCAGCTTTAAAAAGTTACTGGTAATGAGTTTAAAGTACATTAAGGAACATCTGGCTCGTGATGTAGCCTACAGAACATTCTCCACTGAGTTATTGCCTAAAACCTATAAGCACTTAGGGTTAGGGTTAGGGGGTGACAAAAATAATCGGGACTGGTCAACTAATCGAATAAATAATTAACAGATTAGTCGAAGACGAAAATAGACATTAGTTGCAGCCCTAATCCCAACTGGCACACACACACAGGTTTTTGCCAGTATGTAAGTTTGCTAGGAAGAACATATATTTCATTTGTATAAGAACAAATAAAAGTTATTATTGTTATAATTATATATACTGGTACATCAGGTGCATGAATGTACAAATGACACTGTATTTTTCTTCTCTGGGCAGTGTGGTGCAACACATCATAGCGTAAACACACAAATGCAATTGCTCAGCTTTCTACTCTCAGTTATAAATCAATAAAGGGGTCTACTCCCAGAAGTGGTATCTTGCGGCTCACCTGTACTCATCCCTGTAGGAGCTCCCTGAATGTTCCTGCTTGTATGATCTGTCATGGTAACGGTCCGTTCTCCAGGAGTCTTGGGGACCCCACTGGGGACCAGCATCTTAATGATTAGAGTAACATACAAGTATTACTCACTTTTGTAACCAAGACATAGAGTGTAGTACACTGCTAATAAGAACTTTGTTGTCTCACAGAGTTGTTTTGTATCACTCTACCTTGTCGTCCATGCTGTCCTCTATAGAAGTCATGGTCATAATAACCATAGGTGTCTCTGTAGTCCCAGTTGCTGTGGTTTGGATAGTCATACCCATGCCTGGAAATAAAGGGCCTCTAGTTTCATCAGTGCATTCATTAATTTTCTTCCCCTGTTAATCCTTCCATCCTGAAGAAGACTTAATGAGCTAAAACATTTATCCATAGAATTTAAAATCTTAAAAGAGTGTTCAGCTTTCCACCTTTCTTCCTTTAACCCTTTTGATGGCAACAGGTGTCTGGTGAGTATCCCAGTATGCACTGAACACCAGGAAGGTGTACTTGAACTCTGTACAGTACTCTGGGCTTTCGCACCACCATGCTGTCCCCAAATCAGTACACTATACTATGAAGTGTTATCATTTTTGTGTTTGCCTTGTCCTGCATGACTACATACACTAAAATGATTGCTAAGGTCTTTATTTAATATTTAGTTGCAGTCACTGTGGCATAATCCATATGATCAGGGAAATCAGTGTGAGATCATTCCTGGATAACACCAAAGATCATTTTTACAAAACTCCCATTGCTGTACACACCTTGACTGGGGTCTTTGGGGTTCCAGGTGGCCATGGCCATAAGGATAATGCTGAGTGCTGTAAGGATATTGCTCCGGTCTGGCAGGGGGACTGGTAAAATGAGCCCTGAAGTGGGCATCAGGATGAGCCCAGTGCCTGTCTCTCTCTCTGGGGTACGGTGGTGGGTTCCTCTGGTCCCTGTCCTGCTGAGAACGCCTGTAGTAGTCCTCTCTGTCTTTTGTTCTGTGTGAATGAAGGCCAGAGTCGAGCTGGTGGTGACCTCTGTGATCCATGATAACCCCTTCACACAAGATCAGCCCACCTCAACACCTGAGGTAAATAACGAAAGGTAGGAGTTTGCAATTCTTTCTGTAGGCAATCCTTATTTCTAAGGAAAATCCACGGCAAAAAAAATTGTTTTGTTTAGGTCCTTACAGCTCACACATGCCAAACGCAGTCAAAGTACAAACATGACTGCCACATCATTTCACAGGAAAGTCGCAACATGAGCTGATAACAAGTCAGCATGATAAAAAGGGGATAAAGTTCACAAACTACTGAGACCCATGGGGGTTTGACAATGTTTTGTTACTGCAGGAACCAGTGGTGAAACGTTAAGAGGGGGAAAAATCCTTTACAGGATAGAATAAAAAAATAAAAAATCAGGGTACCAGTCGGTATAAATAATAATCCTTCATCTCCGTTCTGTTTGCATTATGTATCCCAGCCTGTGAGTACAGCTGAAAGTAAACAGTGGAGCACGCCCTGAGGAGTTTGACAGCTGCAGTCCCACAAGGCAGGAAAATAGGAAATCACGTCCATCTTCAGGATAAAATAAATACAAAAGAAACTGTCCACCTTGACTGTGTCATCTGGGCATGGCTAACTGTGTCCTCGGATTGTAGAATACATGTGGAAAAGGGTACAACTTGTTAGAGCTGAGTCTTGCCACGTTGCCGGTAGGGAAGCTGCAGAGGGGCCGTCACAGCCGGTTAGTTAGAGTTGGTTGAGCTGGTCTCCGGTCAGTTTTATTGATGTTTCTGCGAACAGAGGCTAAGGGAAACTGATTCCTAGTCAGCGGTGGCAACTTAGAAGCTGAACGTTTCTTGTAGTAAAAAAAAAGAAAATCCCCACTAGAGGCGCTCTAACTCATACCGCGGGATGCCACTCAACCCTTTCCTGTAGCAAAGCTTTTATATTTATTCATGTCGGTTAGTTTTGCATTAATTTTGTATCAGCCTCTGGCTAAATAAATTAAATGTGTCTGACCATTCATATAGGCCTCTGTAGCCTAAATGGAGTGCCAGACAAAGATGCATTACATTTATTTGAACGTTTTGTTTCAAATCCAAATTATTTTCAAATAAATGTAGCCTACAGCACACCTTTGTTCTCATTATACACATAAGCTATATAATTCTAAGAGCTACTTTACAATATGTTTCATTTCACGCTTACCTCCATATTCTTTTATCCTGCTAAATGTGGATATGTTTTGTTCTTTTTATCACAGCGGACATTCTGATTTGTCATGGCAGGAAAAGCACAGGTGTTACTTTTAACATTAACCATGCATGGGTGTCATTAACGCTGGGGCCGCAGGGGACATGACCCCAGCACATTTTGAAATGGCTGACTTTGTCTCCATTACTTTTTGAAAGCATTTGTCAAAAATGTTCTGAAAAATAGCTTGCACCAAATGTTAACTAACAAATGAAAATGCTTTGAGAAAGGTGCATTATCTACTATATATATACTGAAAGCAGATAATGTCTCCAGAATGCAGGATATTAAGTATATAATGCTCAAAGTTTTCTGGGCAAGGACCCCCGCTCATATGTTTCAGCATTTCATATTTCTTAAAAATAGTGTTACAAGTCTTCTTGTTCTCATGCATCATCACATCTCGTGACCCAAGTGTACCATCATGCCCGTAATCTGAGCCCTTATGTCCCCACCACTTTTCAGCACAAAGGGACTCCCTTGTAACCATGGTTCTCTTCTATTCAAGTGTCCATTACTGTGTGCTAGTGAGACAGCATGCACAGTACCAGGACCATGAAACTAAAGCAACTAAATGGAATTCAGCTACATATTTCATCATGTTCCATATCCACTTTTTAACTACTTAATTACCGTGGTGCGGTGGTTAGCACTGTCACCTCACAGCAAGAAGGTTGTGTGTTCAAACCCCGGTTGCCCCGGCCTTTCTGTGTGGTGCATGTTCTGCCTGTGTCTGCATGGGTTCTCTCCTGGTGCTCCGGCTTCCTCCCACCATGCAGGCTAGGTTAATTGGTGTCTCCAAAATTGTCCTTAGGTAGTGGTTGTCTGTCTATGTGTTGCCCTGCAATGGACTGTCAACCTGTCCAGGGTGTACCCTGCATTTTGCCTGATGTCAGCTGGGATTGGCTCCTGCAACCCTGTATGCAGGATAAGCAGTTGACAATGGACGGATGGAACTACTCAATGTAGTGTGTATATTTGTTTCAATCCTTGTTTTCCTGATTTCTTTGGCTTAACATTGTTCTTTAAATAAAAAATCTTTTTCTCTATAGTCGTTATACACAGTCTGAGCACTTTTATGCTGGCAACAAAACATTTCACTGCGCACTGTGCTGTGTATGATTGCGTATGTTATTAATTATTTTGAAAGAGTCTGTCTCATGGTCTAAGGGAGGGGGATAAAGGGAACAGGGAACCTCACAGCTATACACGCTCTTGTTAGATTTTAAATCCTTTATGCAAGCTGTCCTTCGGCTCATGCTTTTAAAATTTTAGGCCTACTTCTACACGCTTAATGTCTACAATTAGTGTTATCCAACTTGAGACATGTAATTATTTACACATTTATAGACATTGTCAAAAGATGTTTGGAGAGAAGGTATTGAAATAACAATCACAATAATGTCACATCTGCAAGTAGAACTGTTCTTTTTGTATTTGGTATGGAACTGCAATATACTAAAATTAAATAATAATATAAAATGCAGCAGACCTCTGATGATCAGCTACATGCTTCCTATGGAGACACTGGTAGTCTGCAGCTGCTACAATTCGGATTTCAGATTCAAATTCAAAATCAAAGTCAAAGGTCCCCAACACTTCCCAGTGGTAACTGCCTTATTACAGCCGCAGGGTGTCGCTAAATTCCCAGACGCTGGATGGGAATGAAATCTGTATTTCCATGTGACCAATGGGACCGGTTTATGCAAATGAGTCGCGGTCAGAGGTTTTACTACTGGAAACGCAGGACTCAGCGGGCACATAGTGAGAAGCTCACACACTAGCAACCAGATTCCGCTCTGGATATTATTGGACACCCAATCGATCGGATGTGCAATATGACTTTTGAGGAAACCAGTGGAGATAATTCTTCAGAAAGGTCAGCCCGCGTTGTTGAACCTTTTGCACGTTTTGCATTTCTCTTGCTTTGCTTGTATTTATTATTGTTAACCTAAGGTTATTCATGTGAGCTTCACGACTGGTTTATCGTTAAAGACTGTTGGGTGGAAGAACTGTTGCAAATGCCTTTAACGTTACTTAGCCTGGACTCGTTTCATTTGACTGTCTGTGTGGAGTGAGGTTCTGCTTATAACTGTCATTTAACGTTAACGTTACTGCAGCGTCAGCTAACGTCAAGCCGGTCTGCTAAGCTTCAGCTAAGTTACTTGTTTTAGCTAGCTCCTTATTTCAGTTTCAAATCTGTATGTATGATAATCAGAAATGTCCATATTGGTATGTCTTAGGTACACGAAGTATTGTGTGTGTCAGAAATGCAACGTTGCATCATGAACGCTTAACTTTCATCCATCCCGTGTGAACAACGTTAACGTTACTGGCTAACTTGGGCATCAGCAGTCTGTCATCGCTTTGATCGTGTTGTAGTGCGTTTTGCTGGCTGATATTTCATTAAATGTGTCACACTTTCTTTTGTCAGGATGGAATCGGTGGCTAAAGCGCTAGAGGAGGTCCTGAGCTCCGCGTTGCCTCAGGGTTGCATCACCGCTGGAGTCTATGAGGCAGCGAAGTCACTAAATGCGTAGGTTAATATGATAACCACTCTAGTGAATGGACTTGTGATAAACACGAGGTATATTTCCTTTTCCATTTCCTCACTGCTCTGTCTTTTTGTTTGCTTTTAGGGATCCAGACAATGTGGTGTTGTGTCTGCTGGCCACAGATGATGAGGAGGATGTGGCTCTACAGATTCATTTCACCTTGATCCAGGCATTCTGCTGTGAGAACGACATCAACATCCTGCGGGTGAGCAACATGAGGCGCCTGGCAGAAATACTTGGAGGAGTGAAGCCTGGAGGGGAGCCCATGGACCTGCACTGTGTTTTGGTTACTGTAAGTGTCATTACTCACGTACTGCAGAATATATTGCTCACTTCCTTTCAGACTGTAAAGAGAGGCAGTGTCCGCTTCAGTACCAAGGCCAATGTCAATACTTGCAAGGAACTCTTACTAGCTGTGGTTGTGCAATCTTAATATTTTCAGTCTGTTGACGCATTTCATGAATTGGCAGATGGTAACTTGTTCCGTCTTATGCAGAATCCTCAGTCGTCACTGTGGAAGGACCCGGCTCTGAGCAAAGTGAACAGATTCTGCAGAGACAGTCGCTGCTTGGATCAGTGGGTGCCCGTTATCAACCTGCCCGACCGATGACACTGCTTGGGAATATTAATGTATTGTGTGCATTGGGGGAAAAGTAACTGCACAAGGCCTGTGTTAATGTCCGTGTTGGACTCGTTTTGGAAAGTGCCCCACAGAGACAGCAGGGGCAGAAAAAAATGAACACAAGGAAGCGAAACATTCCAACAAATTTACCAGGTCAGGGTGAACTTGTGTGCCAAGGAAGAGTGACTCAGCAGTCTGGGTTCCAGGATTTCCAACGTATGACTGCACCTCTCTCTGCTGAGAAAGAAGCCTTTACAGGAAGCGGGAATCATGTGAGAGGACAAGCACACGTGGTCATGAGCACAAGCTCAGGACTGAGGAAAGGCGGACAGAGAGCCTCAGTTGACAAGACTGGACTGGAACTGGAGTTGGAGTGGACCCGTCAGAGCTCTCAGCTTGAAGAATTTCTCATGAAAATTCGACCAAATCCAGATTTTCTTTACCAGCACATTTATTTAAGTATTTAAGACTTGTCACTTTGATAAATCAAAAGGGAAAGGTTTCACAGTTTATTATTATTATTATTATTATTATTATTATTATTATTATTATTTTAAGGGCAATGCAATGTTAGGCTTGTCCACTAACTGATGTTGTTATTAATTTAATGAATGATATTTATTGTGCATAGTTCATGGAATTCTGCCTTGTTAAGTTGAATGAAATAAACAAACGACCAACAGTTCACAGGGTGGTTCTGCCTTGATGATTTCCAGGTATTACTGTACAGGTTTAGTGCCCGTGTGGGAAGTCACATGGTGTCCTGAGGAACAGAACATGCCTCTTGTGGCCTCAGCCAGCACATATGAAGCGCAGCGTGCTGCCCTGTATTCAACACATTTTTAACCTTTTCTGTAGCTTGCATCTCTTGAACCAAAAGCAAGGAAATCTTGTGGTAGTCTGTTAAAATGATTACCTCCTCTTTACCTGAGCATGGAGTCAAAAATATTGTTATTTACTACTTAAAATAGTAACCTGTTCTGGGCAGGCATGAGAGCCTTTGAAATCAGCTTTACTCCTGCATGTGAACTCTAGTAAAATTTGACCGTTTGCACATTTTGAGGATCAAGTTACATTGAGGGGAGGAGAATTCCCATTGTAGCATGAATCAGAGTGGGATGGGGCTCGTCATGACAGCTCATTCTTCACAGCCTTCTGCATCTACGCAATCAGCTAGATTTACTGCTGAGTGGATCAAAAATAGCAGTAGAGAGGCAAGAAGGGGAAAAAAACAAGTGGAAGACCCATTTCAGACTGCAAAAAGAGAAAACCAGAAATGATTGGTGCTTCTGCAGAGTGGGGAGGGACAAAGCCTTCTAAATAGAGGGTCACAAGACAATGGATGCATGAGTCAGGGCTATTCAGGTCTCCATTGCTAGAGCTGTACAGTACTTTAGCTTCATGGCAAAAAAAATCGCCCTGTGAATAGAGACGTTCCTGACCACTGACAATAGTAGCACTTGTAATTAACATGCAGGGTACGCAGAGAGGCTGACCTGCTGCAGAGATACCGCTGTGCAGCTGGGGTCAACAATCCACTCTGGTGGTCCTATCAGATGGTGGATAGCAGATGGGGAGGAAAAACTGGGTCAAAATGCAGAACTGACTGACTGAAGATGAGTGTGCACACCGCACTCTCATCTTCAGTCAGTGACAGAGCGGCCGGAGGGTTTGTGGTCTTGTTAAAATGACTGAACTTAAAGGGTGCAGTTTGCAAATGTGACAAAATGTGCAGATCTACACTCCACTGAACTGATGATAGAGTCCCTCCAGTTCCACACTCCATTTCAGGATACTAGTTACACTTTTCCTACGCTTTCGCTGCTGTTGTCCTTTAGGGATGTTGGCAATCAGCAGAACTGAAGCGCACGCTGTGTTTCTAGATGAAAAAAAAAAAGACAAATTCAAAGATTTTTTTTTAAGTCAAACAATAATACCAGAAATACCAGAGTAGGATGAGTGTAAAATGACACCGGAAAGCCAGTTTGATCATTAAAAGACAGAGCCACTTTCTTTCCTCAACCCTTCCTGTCACAGAGAGGGGTCACTAAAAGTAGGTGAGATATTGGACATACTGGATTATTGTCTTATCTTGGAGCTTCTCCACTGCGCTGACAGGTAATACAATCACTGTCAACAACGCTGCTATAAAGCCTGTGTTATCCATCATCTGACTCTAGGGAGGGTCACATCAATGTGGGCCAACAAATATGGCCTGACCTGATTGTGGATGTAACATCACACCTGGGGTGAGTGAGAAATGAGAGAACGGGCTGCTTAGAAGAGCAGGGATTATTGCATAACATGGCCCAGGGGCACAGAAAAACCTTCACTGAGTGTTTATGTGCTCCTGACCTGATACTAGAGACACTTATCCACTTGTTTGAACATGGCGAAATTGGTTGAGAGTTTTGGCTGAATAGGTATTTCGTTCTTAGTTTGGGCAGGGGTGTGTTCTTACCCTTAAAAAAGGTGTGTCATGGACAACAGCAGAAAGCATGCTGTGCGTAATAGATTGATATAAACTACAACCAGAAGTTTAGTACAATATGTTAAAAAAACAAACCTATACATGAAGTAAAGCAAGCAGCAGGTTGAGAATCTAGTTTCCCCAGAGATTACACTTACAGGAAGTTAAGCCACAGGGTGAAGTTTAATGTAGCCGGGAACAAGACGAAACTGTACTAACCTCTAGCTGTGGGGGGTTGTCCGTCGTCATTTCTTTCAGATTATTGCTTTTGGTCAAAAGCAATAATTTGAACAGAGCTAAGTGCCTATTAGTTTCATTTTAAAGAAGCATTATTTGATTTTGTTGACAGCTTGGCAGAGTAACAAGCTGTAACACAACACTGACATATTTTTCATTATATCAGCAGCTTTTCAATTAGTCACTTAGGTGCTGCAACGTCGGCGTCCTTAACTGATGCATGCCACAGGCTGTGTAACCAATCCAGACATTTACCTTTGCTTTTGCTTCTTCGTTTATTGCTTACAGATATTTACAAAGGGTTCTTGAACCCAGGCAGCACACCAATCACACAGCTTTCAAGTTTGAACAACTGCTACACTACCTCCAGACACGATGGCCACGGTCAAAAAGCTGCAAGCCTCATCTGGCGTGCAACACACCTGACTGCATTACCCTTCAGTGTCAATGTCAAAATAAACACAAAAGGCTATAGATAAGTGGCTCTTACACTCTACAGCCTCTACATGTTAATGTCAGACAGACACAACAATCCTGAACAATGCAAATGAAGAGCTATTGAACACCTATGCTCTCAGGGTTAGCGGTAACTAGTATTTATATACACAAACCTCTGCATCAGCATCAGTTAGGCATCCAAGGCTGCCTTTAATAGGCAACGTTCAGTCACAGGTTCCAAAACATTATCCAGAGAGCTGTATGAAGTCCATCATCGACCAGTGTCTGCTGACGCAAAATGGGAGTTGAGCACCCTTCTGATCATGCAACTGGCACGTTCCCACACAACACTGCAGTGTGAGGCTGATGGTGGGTTAAAGCTCCACTTGATTCTGAAGCAGTGCTACCTGTATTTTGCTGTGATTTAATCCTGCAAGGGACTCCCATAGTTGTCTTTCGGCACCAACAAAATTGGAGCCGTTGTCAGATTTGAGAATCCTGGCCTCTTTTGGTCCCAATGAATTAATGCATGCATCCATATCCAGTGAATATGCCACCTCTAGGTGAAGAGCTCTGCTCGCCAAAAAGGTAAAAAACCACTCCAAAGTCTTTACACAGGCTTCTCTGTCTAGTCCAGTTGCTCAACCAAGTCCAGTTGTCTTAGAGTTCTTGGGTAACTATGACCTGGATGACTGAAAATCCTCACAGACAGCAGTTAAATATGATTTTCCTTATTGCTGATTTAGGATTTATAATCCAGTACTTCCTTTTGTTTAGATAATGTGAGGTTTTTTTCACTGTGTTTTTTGAGTTGTTGGTGAATATGCCTAAAGATGAGAGTTGAGAAATGCTGATCTTTTCAAAGGATGAGGATGTTTGGTTTCTTCTGGCAGTACTGCCCTAATCAGTCATCCTCCAACTCTAAGGAGACCATCCTCCGGACATGGATCCAGTGTGTAGATAGGACTTTACTTTCTGACTACAGACTTTCCAGATGAAAGTGCTTCAAGTTCCTCCTTGAAAAGCTGCCACTGAGTGTAGGAGAAGGTTTGTAGGTCTTCCTCCAATATTCAGCTCTTACATGAAACTTCCTGAACAGAATGAGGCAGAACTGACAGGATCCAAAAGAGTATGTATCACGTTATCTCCCTTGCTGGATTTACCTTGACAGGCAGTGTTGACCGGACACAGTCGTCCTTTACGGCCCCCGCAGGCTACAAGTTTCTTGAGAAACTAGTGAATAGTGAATCACTGCCTGGTGGTCCCGTGGACAATTTGAATATTCCTTTCTCATGTAGACATTTTTTTCTTTACTTGTGAACACTCCTCCATGAGGGGTCACAAGACCAGCACATACAAGCAGTGGGACTATGCTTGTTCTCTTGGAACGTTACCTTTAGTCCCCACTTCATAGTCCGAACGCTTTATTATGGTGGCAAAGCTATTTTCTCTTATGTCTTTATATGCAAGAACTTATTCACAATCCTTAAACCAGTTTTCAAAAACGAAGAGTCCTGAATCTCAAATAGATAAATAATTTACCTAATAAGTTTAATATGGCTAGCCTGTTAGCAAAGAGTTGCCTAATCAGCCAGCAGACACAGAGCAACATCTGACAAATCAATGTCCAACTTTAACTTTTAACTCCACTTCACTTGTCTTCACACATTTCTGAGATAACTGACTGGCTGTTAAATATTCCACCGTGTTCACGAGCTAGTTACTAAATTGTCTGGTATTTGGTGTTAAGGCAGGTAGTGTGAGTCGGTTTTCAGAGGTGTTATCTGTCAAAACTGCTGTTGGCTGTGGGGTTGATGAGAGCGGTGATGGTGAATCAAAAGAGTCAAGTTATGTGCTGTTAAACCAACACAATGAGCAGAAAGATGCTAAAACGCCCCAAAGAGAAGAGGGGAATCGCATAGTTGTGATAATACTCTGTATGTTTGTCACTATGAGTGACCCCTTTCACATTACACAGTAATGTGACCTACTGTTAATATAGAAGCAATGATTAGTGCAGCTTTAAGTCATACAAATGGCTACTTCACATTCAAACTAATAAATGCATGCATCCAACACACTCTTAACGAAATACTTCTTGAATTCACAGAAGGTAAACACATCAGATATTAGCGACCAGCACCGCTTTTGCCCTAAGGTTTAGTTGTTGTTTTTTTAATCTTACAATAGTTGCAACAAAACAAAACAGACAGGTAAAGGCAGAATATGACATACAGTAAGCTGTTACCTACACTCACCAGGTGTGAGAAACCACAAACATTGTAATTTCTTTTCTAATAAAAACACAACTTAATATTCACTGGTAAGAAATTTAAAATTGAGGTTTGAATAAATCAGTACACTCCTATCAAGTACATTAAACAGTTAAAAGCAAACATACTACGGTTCATGGAAATACTGTGCTACAATACTTATGGACATATCTTGATGCAATTCATTGTTGAACATGAGTCACTTTGAAATATGATGTCATACAGAGTTAATAGCCTATAGAAAGATAATACTCCCTTTACGTAATGGCCTTTCTTATTTACAGTATTAGACAACAGCACTTGTGTGACTAAAAGGTAGTTCAGAGGTTGAAGCCAGATCACTTCATTTTATTAAGGCTGGTAAAATTGCTAAATTGTTGCTTATGTTTTGCATGAGCACACAACACAAATGACAGCTACACACTGCCAGTCATACGCTATCATAAAATCAAAGTATATTTTAGAGCAGTTGTAAACGTGGAATGTTTTAAACTCAAGAGTTTAACAGTCACCTGGTGTTTACAGGTTTTAAAGTGCCTGAATAGTACGTTTTAAGCCTCGGCTCTGCAGACAGAAAACAGCAAACTGCTAACAAAATATATATGTATTTTGGGACACCTAAAGTCTAATAGTACCAGTAAATGGGTAGATTTGGTAAGACGGCACAGATCCTGAATCCTTTCCTTGTTTCAGCAATGATGGCGTCATAATACATGTTTACATAAATTAAGGAATACCTCATGCCAAAGGGTCATGCACAATTATCTCAAAAGTTCACACAGGTACGTTTATCTACAATTATTTCATTTTGATAATTTGATCAAAGTTTTTAAATACATTTATAAGGCAAATTAGAACAAAATGAGTTAAAAAAAGACATCATGACTGTTTCACCCCTCCGGTATTCAGGCTTCCCAATTTAGACATCACATTCATGACATTTAATAGCTTTGCATTGGATTCAAAATGAAGTAGGTATGGAAAGTCCTATAACAGGAATGCAACTAGCTTGACGGAAAGGAAACAGAAAATCCAGTGTCTATTTATCCTAACAGTCTGCGTCTACATTTAAGTGAACTATTCTGTATCCTAACAGTGGCAAAAGAAATTCTCAATAATATCTCAACAAAAATCCAATAAACATTTAACTGAGTTGTTGTTCTCTGGAAAGGCTGAATTATACAGACAGGACATGTGTCGGGACAATGGGAACCAATTTGATTGCTGTCGATGCTAAGACAGAGTTGGGAACAATTTAATGGCCAGTTTTTCAAGGCTATTATTTCTGACAGTGACTAGATTACTAAATATTAAGCAGAAGATGTTCATCCGTGGCAATGGACCTTCATTCTTTCCATTTGTCTTCATGTGATGGACGGCACAGTTTACTCGTCCCCTGACAGGATATCATTACCTCAAGTGCTCATTACCAGTAGCACACAAACCTCAACAACTGTTTCCTGAAGCAAGCCTGATGAAAGTAAGAGGTGAAAGCCTAAATCTGATTGGACTGATGATTTAAGGGGCTTGTTTATGCACGCTGTGATAATTAGAGAGTCAGGAACTCTCCCATAAATGGCACAGCTCCTTGCAAGCCAAGGTCTGTGGCCTTCTGCATATTGTCGGACAAATCTTGTGCAGAGAAACAAAAGTCACCACAAAACCATCGTGCAAACTTGTAATCATCTTTGTTTGAGCTAACGTTTTGATCCGAGGCCACAGCTTTAGACTTCTGCCTGTTCTTTGGTGTAACTGGTATCTGGCTGCAAGGCAGAGAGGCATTCATTCCTAAACTGCAGCGGGCATGTGAATGTTAGGGTGGTACACTGGTCTTCAGATACATTGTGAACAGTATTACTATCAGCTTTTTTTTTTACATAAGAATAAAAAGGAGTGCAGGTGATCCCCTACAAAACAGTGCAAGGCTTTTTGTCCTTGAAAGGGTTTTCTGAAGCGGGGATCCCCATAAGCAGCGGGTCATTCTTCCCATGTTCTCCACAGTAGCGCATCAGGTCTGATGAAGCCTTGGACACCTGCAAAGAAATCAGTCCACACATTGATCTGCCTTGGCATAAATAGTAGAAGTAAGGTGTTCAGAGTGGTGTAAACGAATATAAAGGCACCTTTATTCTCTCGATGCTGGCCTCTATCCTCAGCTGCTGCACTGTCCGCCTGGCATGAGCTATGCTACTGGAGCTCTGCATTTTTGATGACATTGCAGTCTGTGGCAGCTGTGCTCAAACCTGGATTAAGGAAAGAAACACTTACTGTACTTACATTAATTAGAGATGCAGTTTTTTTATATGCACAAACCAAAAAGGCCACAGTGTGATACGTCTAGTCAAATTATTCCTGGCATCAGGATGTTCTGTGGAATGAAAGAAGCACCAAGGTCATGCTGCTGCTAAACATACTGCTGAGGTTATTACTGCCTTTATACAAAGTCAACATCATCAATTCTATCCTATCCCATCTTTTATAGATGGATGATCATGAGATTGTTAATTTCTTCTTGCCAGTAAGGAAGTCTATCCAACAGAACAATGATGAGTTTGAAATTTGTTGTTAGTGATAAAGCTTAATGTACTGCCATAAGCAGTGCTGGCCTTGAGCATCTGGGGGTTTCAGAGTTAAATTGGTTTGCATAAATAATGGTATGTATTTGAACTTAAATGCATGCTGAAAGTCAGACACAGTTGAGGCTGCTGAGAGGTCAGTGATAAAAAAAAATATATCAGCACTCAGATTAATGAATGAGCAGCTTTGCACAATATTGCCAAAATTACAAGAAGTGAAGTTACTAATATCTTACTGCACAAATGTCTGTGCAAGCTGTAAAGCTTCCCAGAAGTGACAGTTAACTTAATCTGGAATTGACTCAATGTGCGTAGAAGTTGTTGCCCAACCTAACGAACTCCTGTTTCACAATTCCCACTTCAAGGACATAATGATTTGCTTTTACCCGCTCCTTACATCACTCCTTGAACTACTTGGAGGACAGGCTGCACGCTTGCAGCTTGTTTTCTGCACAAAGATAACTTCTTGGCAGATTATGAAAGAGGAACAGCTTCTAATGCAAGAAGAACACGGTAAATGTGCTGTTTAGCAAGAAATAAGAATTTCTCTGTGTACCCAACAATTGTTCAGCACTGAAAATTGCAAGAGTTACAAGGATCAGTGCATCAGTCTCTTCAACAAATACAGAAAACACACCAGAAAAATAATCTTTGACATGTGGAGTGGTTAATGTTTGCTCTGTGCTTTGGTGCAGGATATTACAGAGGAGGGGGACACGCTGAAATGGAAGGGAGATGAAACATGGTCTGAACCGACTACAGAAGGGAGACAAGACCATGCATCCCTTTAATCCCCCCACCCACTCCCTTCCGCTTCCTCCACAGGAAGCAGCATCGCCAGTTCCCCTAAAGTATAAAGGATAAAAAATGGGGGTGGAGGGTTTTAAAATAGAAGCTATACATACACAGAGGCCAGTAACCACGGAAACAGAAAACATAGCTGCTGAGGGGCCTGGTGAAGTTTTCCTACAGAAAACATGACATTAAAATTACATTCTATAGCCACTTTCATAACCTATATGCAGTCATTGTTCCGGGGAACTTTACACTTAACACTCGTGGCTCTCTTGTCAACACAGCTGTAGTTTTTAAGCCCACAGCTGCACCGGGCAGGCATGAGTGGACTCAGGAAAAGGGAGAGCTGCGTCATAGTGGGGCTGGTCCTCACCCCTCAACGTCTGCTGGGACGCTGTGTGACGCCAGTGGCTACAATAGAGCTCTATAAGTTTGGAAGGAGGCACTAGAGACGTAATTAGCTGTAAAATTTACAAGGCTCAGCGTTTTCTGTTTTACTGCTCCATTGTTGTGTCTGGTTTTACTATTGCCTTGAAAGTGGCACTGATGTAGCCTAGCAGCATGACAGCACTTGATCATCCATTAGTTGACACACAGCCCGCTTTCTTACTAAAGATAGCAAGTTATTGAAATGAGCGAGAACCCTATTGAAACTGAAATAATTATTTTTTCTTTCTTTCTGCAAATAAAGCGCATTTTAAGTTGCCTAAAAGTGCTCAAAATCTCACTAAACTCAAAACAAAATTCAAATGCGGTGAAAATTTACGTGTCATATGATTTTTGATTAGGGACGTGGCAAAACGGCTCGCTAGCGCCCCCCTAAGGACTTTGCTATAGAGCAGCCCCCAGGCCATGTTTTACCAAAATGTACAAATTTTTTGTGGCATATGTGTCATGTCCAGACCTACAAAAAAGCCTTTGGGTAAATCCCTAAATCCAACAGGAAGTCAGCCATTTTTAATTCAATTGTCATTTTTGGCGATTTACAGACTCCTCCTAGAAAATATATCTGATTGACTTCAAATTTCCGCTGTGCAATCTAAAGACTGCGGATGAAAAGTTGTACAAACTGTGAATTTTTGTCCAAAATCGAAGATTCGCCATGAAACAGGAAGTTGTTGTAACTTGCTCATCTCTGTACCAAACTTCTGATGTCTGATAAGAGTCCCTCTCTGAGGCATCCCCATGCCAATATTCACACAAAGTCATAGTGCCACCTACTGGCAACAGGAAATCACAACCTTTGTGCTTTGATGTACTTCTCCTAGCATGTTGGCCACATCCACTTCAAACTGTCTCCGAGAAGACTGAATGCATCTGCAACGCGGCACACCTTGATGCGCATCAGGGTGCGTCATTTCTTTCTCTCTGCTCTTCAGCTCTTTTTCTCCATCTCATTACATTGTTTGCTTATACACTATTGCTGCATTGCATTTAGCCCAAGAAAAATGTAACCAAAATGCAATATGTGCAAAGTCTATTGCATTCATCTATACCTATCCTGCTGTAACTGGTTGATAAAGGCTGCAGTGAAACAAACTACCACTGTAAGACTGTACAATTACAGCCTATTAATATTGACTGTAGTCATAAATATACACATGTACATATGTTCGTGTTGCAACTGCAGTAGTCAGAGAATTGGGGACTGTGGAGACTCTTCCCCACAGGCCAGAGCTGCCAGATGTAGCACGTCTGCAGTAGTTAATCTAGCAGAGGTGAACGAGTTTAGAACACACACCTGCATCAGGATTGGTTCATCCCCCTGGTGTGGGCACACACAGACTCTGCTATGCAGCTCTTCTCAAGGAGCTGTCTGATCCAGTGAGGTCCTAAGCCTCAAATGTGCTAATGTGCAAATAAATCTCTGTTTCTAAGCAGTGTGGTGGCCAGCTTTACAGTAACCTTGCAGCTTCTGAAGGATTATAACATTCTTACAGACTATGTCTGCTTTTAATGGGCCTCATCAGTGTCAACAGTTCAATGTTTTATGAAATAAGCTTGTGCTCTTTCTTTGTTCTTTATTTGGATCCCCATTAGCATCCACCAAGTAGTCACTAGTCGTCCAGGGGTCCACACAAAAACAGTAACAATAAATACAAAATCACACAGTATTAATAAGAAAAGAAAAGGCAAAACAAGCCAAATATGAAGATAAGATAATACATGAAATTACTCACATATGAAAAAATACTATAGCAGCCAACAATGACATAAACTACACACAGGAACAAAAAGGTTCCAAACCAGCAATGCCAAAGTAACAGCTATTTGTGACGTTTTGAAAGAAAATCTACTTTTGGTCTGTCTGAAGTTGGTGGGTTGCATAGTTCAGAAGAAGCTCTATAAAGAACAGTTGTCATTAAAAATTGATGACCAGTGCTTTCTTGATGTGTTATATATATGCCAAAAACCAGCCTAGTGTGATATATGATATTTAGCATGAATAACAGAAAGAACTATTTCAATTTAGCCTCCACAGTTAGCCATAATAATCGTTTATGCAACTCACACACCTTAGCACGGAAAGAACAATGAAGAACTAATCTGGCAGCTCTGTTCTGTGCTATTTGCTTCTCAGCAGCACTTGACTGGACAGTACTGCAGGTGACCAAACAACATCAGTCATAACAGAAGATGGAACATATGCAGAACATTTCCTTGAAATTGCAATTCCCCTTCCCATCATGGAAACAATGTAATAAATCAATCAGATCAGAACAGGACAGTAAATTATCTCATCTAACACACGGTAATTTGGTTTTAATGACCTGCTGAACTGACATAACAACTACAGACAAATTGACTGCAACTGGCGTTAGTAAGAACAATTCTACCACAAATACATTAATTTTGGATAATACAATTTTCAGGACTAATTTGTTTATTCTCATCCGCTATGCAACTCAACATGTAGATTCTCTCTCACAGCTCCACTGATGGTAGAGAAGCTCAAAACAACGTTGAGTCATCAGCATACATAACTTGCTGAGAAATTAGAAGCTACAGCCAGAAGTCGGTTAGCTTAGCATAGCATAAAGACTGGAAGTAGGGGGAAACAGCAATCCTGGCTCTGTCCAAAGGTTAAAAAAAACAGCAATTGTGGAGCTTACGAATGAACACATTATATCTCATTTGTTTACTCCCTGTGGTTTTACTGGTGGTTATGAGCCAGTCTAGCTGTTTTGCAGTCTGGGATGCTAAGCTTAACGTCTCCTGGACAATGTGAACATACATGAGAGCGGGGTCAATCTTCTTATCTAACTCACGGCAAAAAAGCAAATAAGCGTATTTCCCAAGATTTTGATTTATTACTTTTACGTTTAATAAGTGAAATCCACTGTAAGTGACTTTCTGCAGCTCTTTCAACACTTTAGCTTAAAACAAAACACCACTTATATGCAAAATCTGAAGCTGCATAAAGAAAACATAAAGCTATATTAGAAGCTATTGCCTAATTGCCATATAATTTTATTTTTGGACTAAAGACTTGAGTCAAATAAATGAATGAGTGGAAAGAGTCCTCATTCCAGTAAAACAAACACAAACAAGGGAGCAGGGAAATGTGTCACTACAGGGTGTGTAATTCTTTGTATGTAGACTGAGCCTTTAAAATCTTTCTTGCCAAAAGAATGTCTGCAATGCCTGCAGCTGTGGTGCGCCTGTCTGCATCCAGCTTGTGTACTTGTGTGTGGAAAATGTAAACATGTGGCACTGAAAGCATTGATAGAAATACATTTGAAGTGCACTAGAGTGATTTCTTTGATGTGGCTGTGGGGCTTTACACAGGTGCAGAGTTTATGACAGCAAGTTTTGCTCTGTGGTGTGTAACTCTACAAGTGCTTGGATCTGCTGCCCGAATAAATACTAAT